CACTTGGTAGCCCAGGCTGGCCTCGAACTCACAGAGATCCGCCTGGCTCTGCCTCCCGAGTGCTGGGATTAAAGGCGTGCGCCACCACCGCCCGGCTCCTTTCTTTTTCTTTGAAAAATTATTACATGTATTTATTTGTTTGTATATTTGTGTGGGATGGGGGTATACATTCAGTGACATGTGCTTGGAGGTTAGGAAACAGTTTACTGGGGTTAGCTCTCTCCTTTCACCATGTGGGCTCCAGGGATTAAACTCAATTGGTCAGACAGGTCTGACAGCAGTGCCTTTAGCCAGGGAGACATCTCACCTGCTCCTTTCCTTTTCTGATTGGAGGAGAAACAGGTCTCTGGAAATTCTGTACTGTGGCCTGGGAGGTGGGCAGTTTCAATAGAAGTCCAAGGACTCCATACTAGAGACTTCCATTAATCCTCACCCAGAAAGCATAATTCTCGACTCATTTTAACATGGAAAGTCACATTATAAAGTTCCCTCTTCTTTTGTAGTTTCCAGATCTTTTATTCCTCTTGGTCTGTATTGTTACTACTGGTTGAATCTTATGAATTTAAATGGCTTCCCATATTGTGGAAAATAATTTAGTTTTGTCCTTATTTACATTTGATAACCATAGATTGTTATCTGATTAGAGTAACTGGTAGAAGCAGTATCACATTGTGAAGTCTGTCTTCACTGTCTTTAAAACTTCATTTTTCTTAAAGTCTTTCTTGCTGTTTTTCACAGAGTATGTATTTGGGGACATTGGTGGGTATTAATGGAAGAAACCAAAGAATAACAAAAGAGGGACCTACAGTAATGTCTGGCTCCTAACAGCAGTGGCTATTTTTCAATTCCCCAGCACAAGAAAGACTGCATTTGGCTGCAGCCATGGGTGCTCAGGGATGTCTGAGTCAGCAGACATTCTCTGTTTAACTTTTACCTGTGCCAGTCCCACACTTCTATGGAAAAAATGAAAATTTGTGAATTTTCAGCTATACTTCTACTCTTGGAGGGTATCACAAATGGCAATTTTGCCTAAATTACCTCTGATCTGAATAAGAGTGAACTTCTGGATCTCTGCAAATAAATTTAAGGAGGTAAAATGTGAGTCTTCACTCAAATATAGAAAAATTACTTTTCTAGGGACATACTCAAGTGTATGGATGTTGCAGTCTCTTAGCCATCTCACAGAGTGGAGTTTATTTCATTGTTAATGACTAGCTCTTTTCTTTGATACATAAGAAAGTTTTACTGCCCGGCCGTGGTGGTGCACACCTTTAATCCCATCACTCGGGAGGAAGAAGCAGGCAGATCTCTGTGAGTTCGAGGCCAGCCTGGTCTACAGAGTAAGTTCCAGGACAGGCTCCAAAGCTACAGAGAGAAACCCTGTCTCAAAAAAAAAAAAAAAAAAGAGAGAGAGAGAGAGAGAGAAAGAGAAAGAAAAGAAAGTTTTACTAGATATTTTTGGGTTTCATTACTCTAATTGGTTAAAATAAGGAAATAAATATCATGAAAATTAGAGTACTAAGAAGTTGAGACAGAAGGATTCCAAGTTCAAGGTCAGCCTGGGTTAAATAGTGAGACTCTATATTATAAAACCACAAATAATAAATAAACAAATTCAATAAAGAATATATTTTCTCTATACCCTAAAAATTTAGTGATTAAGATAATCCTATAAATCAATTAAAGTAATTTTTATTTTACAAGATCTCTGTAGTAACATAATTTCCTATGCTAAAAGTTTTTATTTATAAGATTTTTACTTGTAAGGCTGTAGAGTTTGCTCAGTAGTTAGAGCACTTGCTGCTCTTGCAGAGGACAAGGGTTTGGTTCCCAGAACCCACTTGGTGCCTCATTATCACCTGTAACTCCAGTTCTAGGAGATCCATCACCTTCTTCAGGACCTTGCAGGCTCTGAGCACATATAGTACATACATATACGCAAATACTCTTAGATGTGAAATAAAAAATAAAATCCTCAAAGAATTTTTTAAAGAGATTTTTACTTGTATATTTCTGTTTTTTATTATGAAACTGGAGGATGTTTGTTGTACCCCTTATTGTTTGGATATAGTATGTCTACCACAAGCTCACATATTTGAACAATTGATCTACAGCTGACTCATAGAACCTTTAGGAGGCCAGAGATCTATCTGGATTGTGGATCTGAGAGGTTATATCTCCTCCCCACTTCCAGCTAAGCTTTCTGCTTCCTGGTTGGTGTCATGTAACCAGCAACTCTTGCAGTTCCCTTCCCCACAGTCTGAGCTGCTCCAGTCATATGCCTTCCTTACCATGATGGATGATATCCCCTGGACTATGAGCCATCTAATCTCCCCTCCCTTAAGTTATTTCTGTCAAGTATTTGGTCACAATGATCAGAAAAATAACTGGTACAAATAGCTCACATAACTTCCCTTCCACCCCACCAAAAAAGTATGTAGACTCATTATTTTATTATTATTATTTATTATTATTATTATTATTATTATTATTACATTAAGTTATATAAGGCCATTCTCATGCAGCTATATAATGTACTTTGAGTACATCCTACTACCATCTCCTTCTTAATCTTCTCCCCTCCCATTAGTATCTTTTGTTCCCCCAGACTGTTTGCCTCCACTTTCAAATATATATGAGAGAGAAAAAAGATACCTGTTTTTCTGAGCATGACTCAATTCACTTGATATTATTTTCTCCAATTGCATCCATCTCCTTAAAAACAACATAACTTTGTAGCAGGAATCTTAAAAGTTCTTATTAATAAAATCAAACCTGAGGCCAGTTATTGGGGTGAAAGCTAGAAGATCAGAGAAGCAGAACAAGCCACAGCTACCTCGCCTCGCCAGTTCCTCGGCTGGTTTTGTTTCCTCAGACTGGAAGCTTCTGAGTCCTCATCCAGAATGAATCTCAGCTGAACTGCTGTTCGAAGCCTGAAAGCTTAACCAGCCAAAATGCTTCTAGTTTCTGGTCTTCATGCCTTACATATCTTCCCTTTCTACCATCACTCCCTGGGATTAAGGGCTTACTTTCTGGGATTAAAGGCATGTGTCACATGCCTGGCTGTTTCCAATGTGGCCTTGAACTGAAAGAGAACCAGAGGGATTTCTACCTCTGGAGTGCTAGGATTAAAGGTGTGTGTGCCACCATTTTCCAGCCTTTGTATCTAGTGGCTGTCCTGTCTCTGACCCCAGATAAGTTTATTAGGGTGTACAATATTTTGGGGAACACAATACCACCACATAACTTCATTCTTCTTTATAACTGAAAAAGTTCCGTTGTGTATATATACCACATTTTCTTAATCTATTCTGTTCCGTTGTGTATATATACCACATTTTCTTAATCTTTTCTGTTGCTGGGCATCTACATTGGTTCCTTAGCTTAGCCATTGTGAATAGTACTGCAATAAGCATTGATGTGCAGGTACATCTGTGACATATTGACTTGGAATCTTCTGGGTAAATATTAACAAAAGTTCTGGATCTTGTGGTAGAGCTATTTTTATTATTATTAAATATTATTTACTATTATTTTGTTGAGAAATCTCCAGACTGATTTTCACAATGATTGGACTAGTTTACATTTTCATCAGCAATGTAAAAATATTCCCTTTTGTATATACCCTTACCAGCATTTGTTGTTATTTTCTTTATGAATGCCATTCTACTAGTGCAAAATGGAACTTTAATGTAGTTTCTATTTTCATTTCTCTGATAACTAGTGAGGCTGAATATTTTCTCATATTTATTGGACATTTGTACTTGATTTAAGAACTGTATTTTCACTCCATTAGCTCATTTACTAATGAGGGTTTTTTTTTGTGTTCATGTTCTTTATATATTCTAGATATTAATCATCTAGTTAGCAAGGATTTTCTCCCATTCTGTAGACAGTCTCTTTACCTTTGTACTTGCATGAATTCTCATTTGTCACTTGTTGGCACTATTTCCAGAGCAACTGGAGTCTTGTTTTAAACAGTGCTTTCCTAAGCTGATGTCTTGCAGCATTCTTCCTTCATTTTCTCTATTACTTTCAGAGTTTTGTGTCTTGTATTAAGTTCTATATATTCATTTCTGAAGTTCTATATGCTTTTCTTATTTTTCCTGACTTCACTATGCAAAAAAAGAAACAAAACAAACAATCCACCCACAGTTTTAAATTATAAAATGGTAAGAGGATGAGAAAGAAGTTCGCCAGATATTTCTCTGAAATCTGTTTTTAAAACTGTTTGAATCTCTGTATTTATCTGTGTCCATCCATACTGGAATTATTTTCTTAGATAATATTGCTCCAGAAAATATTACTTCTAAAGATCAAACTTTTTAGAATACTTGGTGGCAGGAGAGAAGCAGAGAAGCTTTAGCCTTTCCCAGATTTGATATTTCTGTGGTCCTTATTTCTAGGTCAGTGTAAGTCGCTGCCAAAGTATCATTTTGCTAAGCCTAAAATTATGAGTGATAAGTCTGAGTTTGCTGTTGAAACAACTTGGGAATACAAATGCCTCCCTGGGTATACTGGGAAGCCATTCCTAATCACCTGCTTAGATACCTCCAAGTGGTCAGATGCTCAGCAGTTCTGTAAACGTGAGTACTCCTACAAGACATGTTTGGTCTATCATTTTATCTATTTGGATAGTATGTCATTTTCCAGACAAAAGACAAGTGAACTAGTATGTCATGGCAAGGAAAGAATGATCACAACCTCTTCATTTCCTTTAACTTCTAAATTTTCTGGGTACTAGGGTTTAAGTTATCATCATGGTTTAACCTATCATCTTCATGATATCATTCAATGATTTCTATATTGTGTTAGAGATTAGATGTTAATATACAAAAGAATATTAGTTTCACCTCATTCTTACTACATTAAATTCAAGAAATATTTTTATTAACTAACATGTGAAGTAATAGGCAATGGATCTTGTAAAGGACAACAGAAATTACACATATGTAATGTATAATTGAGATTCAACACAAGGCATTTCACAGGTTAGGCAAGTTCTCTATTACTGAGATATATCTCCAGACTTTATGATGCCATTTAATAATAGAGGTAAGCTGCTAATCAACCATAGGAAAATATATGCCGTCTAAGAGAATTAGGGAGATTGAGGCCTTTTGGACAAAAGTATGGAGGAAATTATATCTTTGGAAAAATAGAAAAAGGTCAATATGATTTGAGCACATATAAACTCCAAGATTGTATACTTTTTCCTGTGAATAATGGTAAGGCATAACGATTTTTAAGTGGGAAGTAGGATATGACCATATTTATAAAATAAAAAAAGAAACTCATACCATGCTATGGAGGAAGTGCTAGACCAAGGCAGGCCAGCATTAGAAAGGTAAATTTTGCCACTCAACAATCCAGTAAAACTATAGAAATGTCAAAACAAGGGATTTAGGGAAATATTCTGGAATCTCGGCACTAAAATTTTGTAACTAATTGAATTAAATGAAGGAATAGAGGATGAGTTACAGAAAGGAAATGATGACTGTAGGTTTTTAATACAGGAGACTTGGTAGATGATGCCATTAGCTGATAGATTTTAATAAAGAGAAAACAGAGGTTTTTAAGTTAGAATTGACCACAAATAAAGTTTTCTTCCATATACAGAAATATAGACAATAGGGTTTGAACAGTGTTCCAAAACTGACTGATCCTTGAGAAAGTACACATTGCATATTTCAAAAATTGCTTTGAGTAAACATAATGCAGGTCTATCAGCAAGTCCAGTCAAGGAATTTAATAGAAAACACACTAAGTCTTCTTCATCCCAGCCCCAAATCCTATTTTGTTTCCCTTGTAGGTAAATCATGTACAAATCCTAAAGAACTCCTCCATGGCTCTGTGCATATAAACACGGGTATCAAGTTTGGGTCAACAATTACGTATTCTTGTAATAAAGGGTGAGTAGGCAGGAAGTCTCTGCAGGATGTGTGGATACTGAAATAATATTTCTAACCAGAAACTCTCTAATATGAATGAATACAAACAAAAACATGGTCTCCTTGACCTGCTTCAGAAATGGCATTTCAGTGTTGCTCAGTTAAGAGATCCTTAGAAAGCACAAAGATGGAGCTCTCTTTCTTCAATTTTAAGTCTACAGTGCTATTGACGAGGAAGTCAGACCTCATCTGGCTATAGACTGTTGAGCCTATTATAAAAGTCCTTTTTACTACTATTTCACTGTATCTTGCATGATATTCTACATTTTCTTATTGTTTAAGTGGAAAAAAATTAGACTTTTCTAAAGTGTTAAGTAAACTGGATGTGATCCATCACCTCTTTGCCTCCAGATATCGACTCATTGGTGAATCATCTGCTACATGCATTGTCTCAGACAATCGTGTAATTTGGGATAATGACATGCCTTATTGTGAATGTGAGTAAAAAGATCTCTTTGTGGCATCCTACTAAATTTCTCTTATCCCTTTCTAAAGGGAAACTGGGCATCTGCACATAAATATGAGTGCCTGGGAAGTTTCACTAGGTTTGGGTTGTGAACACAACTCTGACTGGTATTCTTCCATGATCTCTAATTCTATCACACTTTTCCATTAATGTTCTTTTATGATGCTATTTAATAGTGAATAGATTCTTACATTATAATATGCATGAGATTATACACTACCAATGCAACCATGCAAAAGTAGATCACCTGTGTGCAGAGCTTTTTGACTTTTTATCAGCCAGTTTCATGTATTTTTCCTTTCTGGCTTATTTTTATTTAGATCATAATACAAAATTTCAATATTATAGATAAGTTGTAGGTAAAGTTTAAGTTTGGTTTATGAAAATGAAGACTAAAATTTCAGAAAATATAATATTTCAATGCCTTCTCTCTTTTCTTAAATACTTCCCTCCAAAAGCTATTCCTTGTGACTCACCTCCAGCCATCACCAATGGGGACTTCTACAGCAGCAGTAGAGACAGCTTTTTCTATGGAATGGTAGTAACTTATCATTGCCATGTTGGAAAGAATAGGGAAAAACTGTTTGACATGGTGGGAGAGAAGTCAATATATTGCACCAGCAAAGACAATCAAGTTGGCATCTGGAACAGTCCACCCCCTCAGTGTATTGGTATAGTCAAGTGTCCAGTGCCAGAAATTGAAAATGGAGATGTGGAGTCTGGATTTAAACGCTCCTTCTTCTTAAATGATACAGTAATGTTTAAGTGCAAGTCTGGCTTTACTATGAAAGGCAGCAGTATAGTGTGGTGCCAGCCAGACGGAAAATGGAGCCCTCCACTGCCAACATGCTTCAAGGGTAAGTTGAGCTAAATAAAATGTTGGGTATCTGTAAATAAAACCAGAGGTTTTGCAGAATAGATACATGGTACCTATAGAAAGTGTAGGAGGAATATGTGACTGGATTTACAGGATAAAGAATTTGAAAGTAAAATTTGGAAGTAATATTTATTAACTTTACTAATCCATCATCATTGGAGATCTCTGTTAAAGAAATGAAGATTTTATTATATTCTAGGACAGTGCTATAATTGTAGAGGAAAGTATAACATACCCTTAAAAAGTCATTGGAATGTTTTCAAGTAGAATTATGAGATATGAAACACTTTGAAGAACATAGGTATATACTTAAGATCATTGGAATAGTCAACATGCTTTGGATAAGACTATGAAAAGCATAGAAAACAGTGGTGAAAATAGACTAATGGTACAGAATAAAAGGTTTCTCTATGATAAGTCAAACAATAGAGTGAAGAGAGATCATACAGAATGAGAAAAAATATTTCCAAACTATACATCTGATAAGGAATTAGTACATAGAATATATAAGGAACTGAAACCACTCAATAGAACAAAAGAAATCTAACTTCAAAGTGGACATTAGACATTTCTCAAATAAAATGGACAATAAATATATGGCAAAGCGTTTAACATTACTAATCATCAGGGAAATGCAAATTAAACAACAATGACATATAACTTCTCTTCAGGTAAAATGATTTCTCAAAAAAAAAAAAAACCCAAAATATAGAACTGGGGAGATGGCTCAGTGTATAAAGTGTTAATTGTACAAGTGTGAAGGTTTGAGCTTAACACAGAACCTATATAAAAAAGCATCACGTGGTGGCACATGCTTATAATCTCAGAATTCGGGAGGCAGGGACAGACAGATCCCTGAGGCTTGTTGACCATCCAGTCTAGCTTAGTTGGTGAGCTGCACTTCCCATTGAGAAGCCTTCTCTCATTAAAAAAAAAAAGATAATGTCCTCTATATGCTTGTGTGTCAATGTATACTCCAACAAACATACACACACACACACACACACACACACACACACACACACACACACACACACAAGCTTGAGGACTGGAATCCACTTCTACACAATATATCAAATGCTGTTAAGAATGGAGATAAAAGTCAGATTAGATAGGAGAAATAAGTTGTGGTGTCCCTACAAAGAGAATTCGCACTGTATATTATGATAGTTTGTTGTATATATTTTAAAATCTAGAACAAAGGATTTTGAAAGTTTTCACTGCAAAGGAATGATATGTTTTAGAAGACAGATATATTTGCCCTTAATTTCATATTACATAGTATACATACTCATCTGAATATCACATGGTATCTATAAATATGTACAATTATGCCTTTTAAAGAATTTTAAAACCCAGTAATTTTAAAACCCAGTACAAAAGTTGATCATTAGAGTTTTTAATGATTATATTGTATTCAAATAAGGATAAAATAAACTTCATATAGACCATATTGGAATATGGAATTGACTAAGATAAGAATTTGATTCCAAATTTTGTAGACATCCAACTTGATACTGAAAATATAATTTTGTGGAAAAAGGCTGGTAGTTAGTTATCATGAGCCTGTGGCCCACATTCTCTCCTTCTCCTCCTAATGTGAATTGTCTGCCTTTCTAAAAGCCTGACGACAAAACTCAGAAGCCTCATGAACCTTGTTTTTGGAGTAAAAAGGATGTGGCAGATTTGGGTGGGGGAAACTGGTATTATTTGGTCCTTGTCTATCCTATTGGTGGAAGGATATCTCAGATTTTTTAGTAGAATAAAGTGAAAAATGAGTAAAAGTAATATTTCCTGGCATGGATCAAGAAAGTGAAAGCAGATAGGCATATGACTTTCCATATCTGGGCCAAGAAAGGCACATTAACCTCACTCTATGACCCCACTCTCTGCCTTAGTGTGGGAGAGTTGCCATGAACATCTTTATTCCACCCGACTAAACCCAAGATAGCTCTAAGTTATAAAGAATAAAGTTCTTATTGCAGAAATAAAAGGACTTTCTGGTCCTGTTCTTTTCTCAGGATGTCTACCACCTCAAAATATTCACCATGGCGATTATAACAAAAAAGATAAGGAATTCTTTTCTGTTGGCCAGGAAGTGTCATATAGCTGTGAACCTGGCTATACTCTCATTGGAACTAAACTTGTGCAGTGTACATCCTCGGGAACCTGGAGCCATGCAGCCCCAACATGTGAAGGTGCCTAGAGCTTCTGCTCTATTCAGAGGAAACACAACTGTTTCCTGACTCTTCATGTGCAAGCCTTTTCTCTTCTTTCCTAGTGAAATCATGTGATGTCATTCCAAACCAACTTCTCAATGGCCAGGTGTTTCTTCCTCCTAATCTCCAGCTTGGGGCAGAGGTTTCCTTTGTTTGTAATCAAGGGTGAGTGTGAAGCAACAGGTCCTCCACTGACTGTTTCCCATAAGGATTTCAAAGTGTGAGTTCTGAAGATAGTTAAGTTTTTACTGTCTTGTTTTCTGTCCTTTTCTTGACCTTTTCTGACTAAGAACTCTGTCATTAACCAATTCCTTTTTATTTTCTTCAAGTGTATATATTTTGTGCTTCACCAGCAAAAGTAGGAAATGTCATTTCATCTTCTGGAATTGCAAACTTTTGGTTCACAAATTAAGACTCCTGATATGCAGAATGAATATAAAATTTGGATTTAGTGAGACTCATTAGAATAAGGTTGGGAAACAAGGTCTTTGCTATTTTCTCTATAGGAATTGAGACTGTTTTCCTCAAAATGATCAAGATAATCCTGATATTTGGATGCCAAACAGGAGAGGGAGAATTCTAAAAAAAAAAAAAAAAAAAAAAAAAAAAAAAAAAAAAAAAAAAGGATGTATTTTTAGTATGTTTTAATCCATTATTTATTGATTCATTGTTCAGTGGAGCAGATTCACAAATAATTGTGGCTTTTTCTTAAGCCAGAAATATTTTTAAAATCCATACCATTCTATAAATACTTGAGAGAAGTGATTCACTTTGTACAATTGAAAAGTGGTTTGTTCTAGTGATGATTTGGTGCTCCTTATTGTTTAAGGTTCCAGTTAAATGGCAAATCTTCTAGTCAGTGTGTCCCAGAAGGAGAGACAGTAATCTGGAATAATAAGTTTCCTGTCTGTGAACGTGAGTAGAAAATAAGAATAATCAAATATGGATCTTATCTCTTTATTCTGTTTTCCCATACCATACACTTATTAAATAAAATATGTCACCCAATTATGTACTTTAAAGAAACATTAGTCACTTTTCTCTGTTTAAAATGCAGGAAAAAGTATTAAAATTTTTCACTTGTTAACATATTAAGTTGTGGTTCTATAAATAAAGTAATAAAGGCTCTGGAAGTTACCTGTAACAAAACCAAGCATAACCCTTTCTAGTGTACTAAAACTCTGGTTGTGCCTCCATATGTCATTTCTTGTACTGAAGAGCTCTACCTAGGGCCAAATGGACATTACTGGAAATACATTGACAACTTTCTCTTTATTCTGCAGCTTACCCAGAAAAGATATGTATATGTCATAGTAACTGTTAATAACTAATATCCTTATGCGACCAAGAAATATAAAGAATATGAAATCAATATTCAAATGGTTTTCTCAAAGGAATCTGGCATTAAGGGGTCACAAATGACTTGTAATGAGGCTGCAGTGTCTTTGGTAACAGTATCTAATGTGACTATGCTACCCGCAACCTGGCTGTGTGTTTTAAACAGGCACTCAATGACTAGTGTGCTTTGGATAGTGGACATGCCTATTTCACATGCTTTTGTCTCACTATATTTTTATCATACCTTATATAGCCTGAACTATAGACTGGGAAACTGAGGCTAAGGGAGGGTACACAACTTGCCTAAGGTCATACAGCTATTGAATGACAGAGAGGATTTGAAACCAGGACTATTGAGCCCAAATCAGTCCACGTTGGCTCCCTACATGCAATTAGCATGTCATTAACAAACTTTAAGTTTGCCTTTTATTTATTAAAAGTGTTTAGAGTAAAAAAATTATAGAAATAATCCCTGAAAATACAGACTAGATAGATTTGGGGGCCAATTCTATTTCCTTATTTTCTGGTTAAGGTGATTTATCTTGATTTCTTTGACAAGGATCAAGAAAGAGGTAAGAACTTACACATTTGGAAATGAACAAACTATAAGTAAAATCATAACAAAGCATTCAATTTCTAAGTATATTTCTGGGAAAGTGATTTTATCTATACTTGGAACTTTTATTTATTTAGTTTTAAATGATCAATATGCTGACCTGGTCTCTTTTCTACTTTTCAGAGATTTCTTGTGACCATCCTCCTAAAGTTGAAAATGCTCGGATACCCCATTACACTGTTCCCATACCCCTTCAAACTCTTGTGGTGTACAATTGTTTACCTGGCTTCCGCCTCATTGGAGAAAAGACTATTTTTTGTATAAGTAAAGATCAATCGAGTGGCACTTGGGATAAAGCTCCTCCTGTATGTGAAAAATTGAATAGAAATTCTGAATGCTCAGAGCCCAGAGTACCAGGAGGATTCAAAGACAGAAAATCTAGACCACCATTCAGACATGGTGATTCTGTGACATTTACTTGTAAAGCCAACTTCACCATGAAAGGAAGCAAAACAGTCTGGTGCCAAGCAAATCAAATGTGGGGACCAACACCACTACCAATCTGTGAGAGCGGTAAGTGTGGAAATAAAACCTAGTCAAGGGCCTGGGGTCTACCAGATTGTGAGAGCATTGAGGATGGAAGCAAAGCTCCATTAAGAGCTGGGACCTGCCAGCCTATGAGAGTGCTGAGTATGGAAGTAGAACTCCACTAAAGACTATGATCTTCCATTTATGGGAAGATCATTTGTTGCATGCTCCCAAAGGAAGAATTGTGTAGGTCTTGTCCCTGGAGCTTGAGATGGCTTTGGGAACCCATTCCCCATGCTGGGTTGCCTCTGCAAACATGTTCACAAATGATTCTACTCTTCACTCAAACCACCTCCTGGGCTGTAGCATATCAAATCAACTAACTTTAAAAATAGAGACTACTGTGAAAGTTTAACTCTCTTTCATCTGGTTTATATTGCTAATAAATCTAAATCCAAAGTTTAATTCTGTGAGTACAGAAATTGTCAGTATTTGACAAAATTACTATCAAAATTTTTTAATATAATTAATCTATAAATTCTAAATAGATTATAGAACTTAGAAAGTGCTATATTGTTTATAAATATGATTCACTCTAACCTGGGAGCACAGAGTTGTCATTTCAGCTTCACAAGAGTCTAAAGTAAGAGATTACAAGCTCAAGGCCTGCCTGGGCCACATTGTGATTTTAAAGTCAGTGTGGGCAATTTAGCCAGATCTTGTCTCAAAATACAAAGTAACAAAAGGGATTATGGATATAACTCAGTGACAGAGGGCTTGCCTAGTTCAATCCTAGTACCACAAATTATATTTATTTCACTTATATATCAGTAGGTTGATTAACCAGTAATCTCAAATTGGATTGTCTGTGGAAAACAAACCTTAAAGATTTAGGTGAACTTATATATGTAACATGAATTGCTAACCAGTCTTATTATAAAACCTGGGGCCAAGTATTGGGGTGAAAGCTGAACGATCAGAGAGCAAGCCAGCCACATCTTACCTCTAGGAAATCCTCAGCCAAAGAGAGAGCTACTTCCTGTATACTTACACCTATCTGACTTTCTGTACCCTGCCATCTTCCTTCCTCTCTCCGCCCAGTTCTATCACTTCCTGTCTGTCTGTATAGACCTCCAGACCTCTATGGTTAACTAGTGCTGGGTATGCTACCACTATGGTTAACATAGTGGTATGCTACCACTGCCTGACCTCTATGTTTTATATAGTGGCTGGGTTTGTCCTCTGATCCCCAGATAAGCTTTATTGTGGTACACAAATAAAATATCACCACATTTCCCCTTTGTTTATTTAAAATAAAAAAGTTATAACTAATATAGGAAAAACTATATACAATAAGTACTAACTATATACAATATATACAGGCAATAAATACATCAACAATGTCTAGTCCATTTGCATTTAACATATTCAGAGAAAGTATTCCATTATCTATCCTATTTTTGTGAATCCAAAGGATTGTATCTAATTTACTTCTATCCTAATTTGCATTACCAAACTATTTTTTGATGTCTTTCAAATTTATACACTTTACACCTCTTTAGTGAGTTTCTTTTCTGAAATTGTTAACAAGGAAAACTCTAACTATCTAATCTTCAACTCCCTCAGAGACTCGAGAAGGAAATCATATTACCTAGTTAAACAGGAATTGCAAACAAGCAACCTCCAAAAAATATGAGTTATGACAGAAACAGCTAGCTGGCTGAACAGTCATCCAAGGTTCCTCTATAACATTGGGCATCCATCTTCAGCCCACAGGCTTAGCATATCTGACAGACTCCTCTGCAAAGCAGGATTGCTAAAGAGCTTTCCTACCTTGTCTTGGCAAGAATCATCAGTCTTTTCTTTTGTGTCCTGCTTGTTCATTTTGGACAGCATACTATCAGCAGTCAATGCAAGGGCATTTTCTTGCCCAGTGGCTAACTTTTGCCACAAATATAGTAAACTCCATATGGAGTTTCTTTAATGCCCATCATCTTCTCTGAAGAAGATTGGTGCTGCCAGGAGCAGACATGACTCATTGTCATAAAAAAAGAAAAATATCTGTTATTAAAACATCTTAAATGCCATATTCTGCAGATCTCTGAAGTGTTTGAAGATGACTTGTCTATCTAAAATATATTTCTGCTTGACCTTGAAAACATAACTAATATGACTATAAGTTTGAGTGTAATAACTAGCTACTAACCTGCATTTCTTTATTATCCTAATTAGTTGGTAATAATAACTAGCAAATTGTATTACATTGTTAAATGAACTGTATAGGTACAATGCCATGAACAAGATTAGAAATATATGTATAGTATTTTCTAAAAAAAATCAATCTCAAATTTGTATCAATATATGTAATTTGTATACAATATACAAAAATCCAATCATATGTACAATATTTAAAATTAGTTGGTGCCTTTGAAATGTAGATTCAATAATGTACCTTTTTATCTATATCATACCTATATCTCCCCTTTTTTCTTTCAGAGTAGATTCAATAATCTAACTCTTATCTATATCCCCTTTTTTCTTTTTTTTAAACAAGAATCTTAAATCTAATCTTCCCTTTGTTTAGCATTTTTTTCTGACCATTAACAATAGCAACTTGTAACCAACCATCCTAAACAATGACAATTATTCAAAACCCATTGAAAGACCAAAAATCACCCACTCTACTGTAGTGGGTAGCCAACATTCAGTGTCCCAGCACAGAGAGAGTGCACAGAGAGAGCACACAGAGAGAGCGCTGGCCCATTGGCGCCTCCCCTGGCCCCCCCTCATAGGCATGACAGTTGCCAGAGTCTCAATGGGGGTTGGAACTTCCATATCCAAGCTGGAATGGCTACCCACTACACTCTACTTCTTGGGAATGTGGGCATTGTGTTCTTAAAATTACTTCCTGCTGTCTGGGGGCAAAGGTACCTTTAGGGGACCCTGAAAAGAAAAGTCTTGGGAGAGGCAGCTCTATCATTTGTTGTCCAGTCTCTGCATAATGTGAAAATAAAGGCTTGTCTCAAGTCCTTGCTCGAGAAGTCTGTGAGGCTGAATCATCTCAGCTAGCCATCTTAAAATTGTCCTGAGCAGTTTGTAGTCCAAAGTTGATCTCTGGGTAGTGTTTGTCATTTTAGTGGTATTATCATCATGCTAATGGAATTGTTGTTGTGGTGCTCCATCATCTTTTTGGAGACTTCAAAGTCATTGTTAGGCATGGTCATGGTTCCCTGCATAAAACTGATAGAAACTCAAACCAGAAATCATGTACAGGAAGCCAGATGAAGCCATTTTTCTAGGATTAGTTAGTACTCTATATGACCACTAATATCATGACAAAAGTTGAAAATATATATATATATATATAATCTTATAAATTTTGATATAAAATTCATACCTTAAGAAATGTTTTAAAGAGTCAAAATAAAACCAAAGAATTATGAGATTAGTAGCAATAGAATAGTCCCTTAATTTTGATTTTTCTTCATCCCACAACAGATGGCTCTTCCGACATGATACAAAGATTTTTGGATTGTCTTTTTAAGAAGCATGCTTGGGTTTAGAGAAGGAAAGAGCCATGCTCCAACTCCAAAGCCAGCTTTAATTTTTAATTGAACTGGGACTACATAAAGACTATTTGTGTTATGAGTCTGTAGAGAACAGCAGAAACAAACATTTAGGAAGACTTATGAAATTTTATATGTGATATACCAATAGGTCAACTTAATTTTTTTCTTGGGACATTTTTTCTGGATGATCTGTCCTTTTTCTTTGGATGTCTCATTTGTTCAGTGTTCTTCAGATTCCTTAGCCTTCATTCTCCTGAAAGAACAAAACAAAAACACTTCCCCAAACCTAACTTTGGGGAGGTTCCTTTTTGGCAAGTTATATATGATTAAATGAAAAGCATTTGTTAGTGGTATAAGTTAGTTTAAATTGAATGGTAATGCTGATTGATGAGTTATCACCTCTTCTAATTAAGAGGTCTCTCTTGTTCATATCTAACCTTTATCAATTTTGATGGTATCATAGCTTTTTCTCTCCTGTAGAAACAAAAGCAAAACCTCATCCCCAACAGAGTACATATCCTAGTTTCTATTCTGAGGTCAGCACATCTTTAAAGTATATAGGCTGATTTAATTTGGTAGTTTTTCCTATTATCCAATGTCTCTCTACAGCTATTGTTCCTTTCTCATTAGCACTGGGAAAATTCAAAGCTAGTACAGCATTATATAATCTATTTCTGGGAGTTTTTGTTACTGCTTTCTGTTTATTTAGCATATCCTTTAGAGTTTAATTTGATCTTTCTATGACTGCTTGGCCTGTAGGATTATGTGGTATACCTGTAATATGCTTTATATTGTAATAAGCAAAAGATTGTTTCATTTTACCAGAGACATATGCTGAAGCATTGCCAGTTTTAATTTGTACAAGTATACCCATGATGGTCATAACTTCTAGTAAATGCCTGATTACAGAATCAGTCTTTTCAGAACTCAGAGCATTTGCCCATTGAAATCCTGAAAAAGTATCAATGGTGTGTTGTACTATTTCAATTTTCCAAATTCTACAAAATGAAATACATCTATCTGCCGAATTTCATTCCTCTGAGTACCCTTTGGGTTACATCCTGCTGGTAGTAGAGTTTGATTGTAAAATAACAAGTAGGACATTTCCTTGTAATTTTCTTGTCTTGTTGCCAGGTTAAGGAAAAATCCTTTTTTTTAACCCTTACTATTGACATGATGTTTTTTATGAAATTCTGAGGCCTCCAGCACATTTCCTATCAATAGTTTATTAATCTCATCATTACCTTGTACTAGAGGTCCTGGTAGACCCATGGGATCAGATGTGAGTTATATATAAGGGATGACTCCTATTCCTGATTTCTTGTAACTGAATAAATAACAAAGTTAATTCTGACTGATCAGGGATAGATTCTGCAGTCTCAATATGTAAGACCATTCTTTCAGCATACTGAGAGTCAGTAACTATGTTGAGAGGTTCCAAAAAATCCATTAATACCATCAGAATAGCATATAATT